ACTGGACTTTCTCTGGACGTTACTTGATACTTGTTTGGCTATGGCCATGAGTGACATTGGCATGCATCTTTCAACGGCTAACTTCGTGCAAAACTGATCCGGTCCAGTCAGAGGAGGCATGGTCAAGATTTGCATACTCAGTCTCTAGGCTAATGGACAAAGTTAACCCATGATTGGATTCCCCTCGCAGCACACATAGAAGGACCATTCAGGTAAGTCAATGGTCGGTTCCTTTCAGAAGCCCTTCCGCAGTGGCTCTAACAGTCGCCCATTTAAACTTAACAAGTGACCACCAACATGTCCCTCCCATAGGCATCCGGTTACAACTTTATGCCAACCGATGGGAGGAAATCACCTTGGATGCGTGGATCCTCAATACGATCAGGAGGGATCTGGTCCTAGAATTCTTGACATTTCCCCCACGGACATTCATCCACTGACCAATCCCCAAGAATCCCCTCAAACAGTCCCTCATGCAGGGAGAGATTCATTACCTTCTGCAAATAAGGGCCATAGAACCCGTGCCAACGGAGCAGGAAAAGCAGGGATTCTACTCCATCCTGTTCCTGGTCCCAAAAAGCTCAGGGGGGTGGAGGGCCATCTTGGACTTGAAGCGACTAAATCAGCATCTGGCCTACAAGCGCTTCAAGATGCATTAACCCCAGGTCCATCCTGGAATGCATAAGGCAGGGGGACCTACTAACCTCCATAGACTTGAAAGAAGCTTACCTGCACATGCCCATCCATGCATCGCACAGAAGGTTCCTGCAATTCCATTATGACGGGAGACATTACCAGTACAGGGCCCTCCCCTTCGGTCTCTCGTCCACACCCAGGACCTTCACAAAGCTTCTGGAAGCAATGGTGGCTCACCCCCGTGCACATCCGATACACCTGGAATGCTACAGCATTCATCAGGAATTACAAAATTGACACCTTTGCCTCTGCTGAAACCTCAATTGGCAGACGTGTTTTGCAACGGGTAGACTCGGCTATGGATATTCTGGACACTAACTCTTCCCTACCTGGAACACAATAGCTTGGGTATGTCCCATGCTTGGACTCTCCAAGCAGCGCACAGGAGAATGACCGTTGGTTTACCTGAATGGTTGTTCTCTGGATGCTGTGGAGAGTCCAAACCCATCCAGGGTTTAACAAGGGTCCAAGACTCTTTATTTCAAATTTGACTATCAGACAGGCATCCTGCAACAGATAAGACCTTCGTTTTTAAACTGACGTCAATGAGGCAAAAGGAGGTGTGGTCAAAGAAAAATCTACTCAATCCTAGGGCAGATAGACTGTGTTTAACCCATGCTTGGACTTTCCCACAGCACCCAGAGTATGACTGTTCAGGTAAGCCAATGGTCATTCCAATTATAGCAATTGTTTAGCTGTCCATGACAATAATTAGAATGTTATCACGTTGTCATAACATATGGACTATTATCTATATTATCTTGAAAAGTTTATGATTTTCCAAAATGGAAAAGTCTTAACATATATTTGAAACTCCTTTGGTTAGGTAAAAGGAATACATGAAAAAGAAAAAGAAATGTTTTGTTTAAAGCTACATAAAATAAGGTCAGACCAGGCAGTGCTCAGAGAAATTACAAAGAAAACCCAAGAGTTATATCTCAAATTCTAAAGGCATCAATTAACATACTAAATGTTGAAGTTCATAACTTTACAATTAAAAAAATACTAAACAAGTATGGTTTGTTTGGAAGAGTTGTCAGGAGAAAGCCTCTTCTCACTAAAAAGAACATGGCAGCAAGACTTTAAGTTGCAAAGTTGCATCTGAACAAATCACAAGACTTCTGAAACATTGTCCTTTGGACAGATGAGACCAAAGTGGAGATATTTGGCCATAATGCACAATGCCATATTTGGTAAAAACCAAACGCAGCATATTAGCACAAACATTTCATATGAATCATCAGACACAGTGGTGAAGAGGTAATTATTTGGGCTTGTTTTTCAGCCACAGGACCTGGGCACCTTGCAATCATTGAGTTGACCATGAACTCCTCTGAATATCAAAGTATTCTAAGTTAAATATGAGACTGTTTGACAGTTAAAGCTTGGCCAACATTAGATCATGCAACAGGACAATAATTCGAAGCACATCAGCAAATCTACAACATAATGGCTGGGAAAAAAAAAAGCAAGATGTTGCAATGGCCCAATCAAAGTCCATACCTCAACTGAGTTCAATGCTGTAGTGGGCCCTCAAGAGAACTGTGCACAAATGCCCACACATTTCAATGAACTAAAGCAATGTTGTAAAGAAGAGTGGGCCAAAATTCTTCCACAATGATGTGAGAAACTGATAGTCATATAGAAAACAATTACCCCAAGTTGTTGCTGCTACAGGTGGTTCTACAAGCTATTGAATCATAAGGTGTATTTAATTTTTCACACATGGCTTCCATTTTGGCTTCTTGTAAAATAAATGATAGCATGGTGTAATAGGTTTTATGTTCATTTGAGGTATTTATCTACATTTAAGAACGTCTAAGGACCAGATGATTATTGTACCCCCATATATAAAACCATAGAACTCAGTGAGGGTGCTCTTTCTTTTTAATGACTGTAGATATCTGGGACAGGTTGTCTACATTATTTTCGTTACTTTGAGAACATTAGTAATGGCAATTAGTCGTAGGCCAGCCAAGCAGTGAGCTCATTATTCCAGCAATACTGAAAAAGCAATCTAATATTTGGCCTGCAGTCTAAAAAGATATGCAAGGCTTCAAATATATAGTATGGAACTAACATGCAGATATATCTTTTGCCTTTGCAACCTAACCTGAAACCTCTCCAGCTTATCATTGCAATCCAGTGTATGCACAGTAGCAAAATCCAACTTGCTTCTCTTGGCCCAAATAGGTATGAATGGAAACTGACCCTATCAATTCTGTGTATTTTTTTTTTTCATTTTATGGTTTGCCATCTGATTTTTTTTTTTAAAGAATTTATCAGTTTTCAAAATGCAGAGAATTGGAGTTCCTCCACCTGCTTTAGGACTGACAATTTTTAATGTTTATAACTTACTAATGAACTGGACAAATTTGTGGATAATATTTAATGATATTAAAACAAAAGTAATTGAAAAAGGCTCCAGAATGATTTCTTTAAATTGGTTAAATGAGAAATAAGGATCAATTTAAGAAAATGGAAAATTGGATTGTGAATGAAATAGAAAATGCATTTTATTTCTAGTTTCAAAACAACTTTGTTTTGGAGAAATGTTTGGTCATAAGAATTGCAGTTCGGATCAAGCCACTTAGGCTGCAAAACTACTAGCATAATGGTTTTCTGAGCGTTTACATCCCAGATCTTATAATTATAAATTATTTCTTCTAGAAGTATATTTTAATTCAATGGAATGTATCTGGCTGTTTATTTTTCTTCTTCGTGCAAGACAGTGTTTTCAATCAATCATTTCCTGCAGGACAGGACATGTTCACAAGAAATATCAATTTGACTTGGCCTGTTACGAGGTTACCATTTTAAATAAATTCCTTTTTCCGAATTTATGTTATCTGAAATTAGCTTTGCAGACAACCAGGAACAAGGATTATCTCCCTCTGCCCAAATATTTAAAACTTTATCTGCATATTTATTCTGCCTGGCTGATCTTACCTCCACTCCCTCTAATTTTTGTGGCAGAATGAATAAGGAAGTTGGAAAAGAAGAAAGGGAAAAATCTTGAAGTCGTAGAGGATACCCAAGAAAATATAAACTAAATATTCAGCAGCTGTGAGAAAAGCAGATACCATGCTTAAGATTGTTAGGGAAGGAATTCAAAATAAAAATAAGTGTTGTAAATCCAAGTCTATGATATGTCTTTATTTGGAATGCTATTTAGAGTTCTGGGCACATTAAAGAAAGATATAACAATGTTACAAAATCATGCATAGCAGAGATGGCTGACAGGAGCAGTTTTATTCCTTCCCACAAAGCACAGCACTTCACACTAACTGTCTTCACACTTGCCAAACTTCTTCCAAGGGTAGTCAGGGCTAAACTGGATGATTTTATGTAGATATTCAAGCTAATTTTGAAATGCCAATTACTAGGGGAATCAACAATGAAAATGTCCCTATTGTTGCCAAGATCCTAAGGGGTACATTTTTGGCCACTGGGAGAAACAAAAGGCTGAAATGAAATGGGCCTTGGCCTAATCCAGCAAGATTGAATTTATTTATTCATCTATCAAATGTATACATCACCCATGAAACTAATCAAGTGAGTTTTTATAAATGTGATTTCTGTCATCATCTCACCTCCAATCTTGCCTTGTAATTAGCAACATGGATAGAACCAGCAACTTTCTGTCTCATTTGCTAATCCTGGAGGTTAAAAAAAAAAAAAACTTGTAATCCCAGTACAGAAAGCAACAAAGTAATCACAACACTTCAACAATGTAGTTTGGGACATCCCTGTTTTACTCCAAGCTTTTAAGTAGCATTGGGATATATCCTTTGATCCTAAGGGAATAATTCCATGTACACCATTACAGACTATTATCCAGAGAAAACTATTAAACTGTCTAACTTAATAAAATCTACACATTACTTAGGAATTTGGTTAAAGACCATTAGGTTAATTCGAGATTTCAGAAATTTGCAGAAATCAAGCATATTATGAAACATATCAGTCATTTGTGAATGTCATCATAACCAATGAATCATTCAATATTATTGCAGAAGGGAAGTGGGAAATGAGACAGATGGAAGAAATGGCATGCTATTCAAAGCAGTTAGATATGGTAATAGTAGAATGTAAGAATAGAAAAAGGGAAATCCTCAGTAGTGGTTTAAAGCCAAAAATACAGAAGTGTTATATATGCCATCATTATATTAAGGCTTATATTAGAAACAAAGATGTTGAATCCATCACTGATTAATTTGAGTTAACCTGAGTATTTGCTGAGATTTATCGATTTAACATTGTCAAATGAGTATAAACACAGATATCAAACCAGAACACTTAAGTGTATTGCAAAATGTACAGCATTTATTCACATACAGACAAAGGCACAATTCTACTAAATATTTTAACAAAAAATACAGCCATCTTCAACTAGGTCTTTATAAATACTTCGAAAAGGGAGGAAAATAAATACAGGATTGGGCCATGTAATATAAAATAGTCATCTCTACATATACTTTATTTCTATTTGTTTTATCATCATGCATCTATTTTCAAATTGGAGCAAAATGGACATCAAAGCTAGGCACATAGTGAAAAAATCCTCTGTACAAGGTTTTACAAATGTAGTAAGATCTTTTTTACCCAATTTGCGTAAAATAATCAAGATTTTGTACATATAAGACATATATCTCATTAGTTTAGACTGGTACATATGTGTGTGGGTGTCCAGAATCAAACAGACAGCATTCCAGTCAACATTACTAAAATGTTTATTACCCTTTATTTCAATGTAGTACACCAAGTATAATCAGAGATTTCTTGGGCAATCTGCATAAGTAAAACATGATGCTAACAAGAAATTTCCATTGTTTTCTTATCAATGAAATGAATGTAGTGGTAGTAAAGAATATGGTTTTATTTATAAATTTTCATGTACTGAGTGTTAAATATAGTTTGAAACAGCTGGTCATACTGATTTTTACCTACTTCTGTAGTTGGAAAATGTGGGTAGGGGGAACGCACTATTTTTTCTTCTTTTGTTATTAATTTTTGGTTCAGCATTAATCAAAACATCAGAAAGCTTATTAACCTAAACACGGTGGGGGAAACAGATAAGGCATTCTTTCTGCACAAATGCTAACGTTCCTAATAGTGCAAATGTAATCTGATACCTCTTTCAAAATTGATCATAACATTGAATGTTTATTTAACATCAAATTTACTTCCTCTATGGCTTGATGAAAAACTCCCTGTTGGGCAGGTTAACCAATATTATTTCACTTAAACCTCACCTGAAAAACTTATTGTAGTGAATAATTAATTAATAACATTCCTCTTATATTTAACAAGAACATGCCTGCTTTTAAAGCAGCAAACCTTGCTATATACCTGTAATATATGGGTAGTTCAATCAAAAGGAACAAAGCTATACACACACACACACACACACACACGTGTGTGTGTGTGTGTGTGTGTGTGTGTGTGTGTGTGTATAATTTTCCAGTAGCTTTCTACAATGGCATCTAAAAATGTTTAGAATGTAAAGTCTTAACCTGTTTGTTAATTCTATCCATCTTGACTCAAAGGCTATGCATGGACTACTCTTAAGAATACAGCGCTCTCTGTAGGAAGGGATGGGGAATAATGTTCTTTCTTTTAAATTTGAATAATTTTCTTGACAATGAAGCAAGCTGCAAAAAAAAAATTCCTGCCTATATAAAGTTATGTTAAAGCATTGGAAGTCCAGTGTATCGATAGCCACCACTGGAACTACAGCTATTATATACACAATGAGCCCAAGATCAGAAAATGATGATCTCATGAAATGTGTCTATTTCACAACCTCCTCATCGTTCATGCATGAGTCCCATTTCAGTTTCCCATTCAGTTCTAACCATAGCATCCTGGTATATTTGAATTTGATAGGCCAAGTTAAAAAATGGCCTTTCAAAGTCTGTATTTTTTATTTCAATGGAAGGCGATTACACATATATTAAACTATGATTAGCACCAAGCTAGATACTGAAAGTGGATGCAAAAGATAAATGAGGGGAAAACTAGCTTATTTTCAAATCAATTTTGTCTTCTTGGAATTATTACTGCTACTTTGGAAGTCAATGGGGATATGATCTGATACATGTTCCCAAATTACAGAATCGGTAGGGTAGTAATTTAGAATTCATGGGATCACATGCTATATTTTTTTAACCAAAAATTAGGACCATAAAAAAACTACTTTGCAAACCTCCTCAAATACAATGTATTATTGATGATCAGTGACTTGCATAGCAAGAGGAAACAGTAGCACTCTAGTTTTCAGTTGAAAGCTCTGGAAGACTTGAGTCAAATTGCAAGGTTCCAACATTTCTTTTAAATATAATAAGTAAAAACTAATGATGATGGACTGAGAGGAGAGTTGCCAAAACAAAATACCTACTGCTCCTTACCTTTCTTGTATCCTCATTATCTCTGGTATTGTTTACATCCAAGTTGAGTCCCAAAAGTTGTAATCATCTAAAACTACCTTCGTGTCTCAAAAATGCACTCTGCTGAGTGCACAAAATAGGCAAATAATCTGTTCACTTATTATTGCTGATGGCTTTTTCTCGCTACTTATTGCAGTTTTTTAATGATGTAATCAAAACACTCTTTTGCCAAATCTAATTCATATCATGAAGTCTTGTTAAATTGGCTTGAATGTAAAGCACTACTCGCATCTTATTGCCTTACCATTTTATTCAAAAAATATACATATATATTTATTACATCCTTTTTTTGTATTTAAAGTAACCCTTATGTGTTAGAAACTTGCATATCCCAACACATATTATTAGTGCATATAAAGAAAGGCTGATGACTACTGCCTTTGGAAATACAGTCATATATCTTCATGGCAAACTTCATTTGTCTGCCACTGCTTCTCCCAAGTCTGATAAGACTAAGAATTTTTCTATTATAAAAATTCTCACCCATTACAGGTTTATAATTTGCAGTGTATATCGGGGGTGAGTGCATAGGAGGAGAAACAAGACAGCCAACCCTGTTTTGCCAGACACACATTTAAGTCTCTCTCACTTGAATTGTCTTTTATTTCACATGGCAGGTGCTACAAGAATACAGCAAGCTTACAAACCTACCTACCTTCCTTTCAAAACGAGATCAAGTACTTTAAGACATAGATACCCCTCTTCCCTTAATTTGAAAAAAGTAGATAATTTTCCTTAATTCTTTGTCTGGATCCCTTCAGAATAGCACTGTATATATGCTGCAGTTGCAATGTTTATTCTGGGCAGCTTGGATTTATCTCTTAGGGTATCAAGTAAATTCTTACCTGCTTGATAAATTGTGTGTCTAAAAACATTTGGAGTTAACAAACGTTTCAGCTGCCAAAATTCCCCTGAATTCTAATACAGCAAAAAAGACGAGACTAGGATTTACTCCAAGCACAGCCTGAGGAGAGTGATCATGTAGATTAGGATAAGCAGGGCACCAAAATTTAATTCATTACTCTCTTATATATCAACAACTTGTGCTTTTCTGGGACGGGGAAAGAAAAAACTTCTTTAGTGCTATCTGCCTAAACTAGGGTCTACCCACACAATCCAATTAACGTATCCTTCTTTTTAAAATGAGCATTCAGCATATTAATCAATTGGAAAACAATATTATTTTCTCAGATTTCTTTCAGACAATTGCAAGAATATTCACACCTCACAGTCATGAGAATGGTGGATACTCAAGTGCACGTAAACAACTTTCTACAGCCCAGGGAAAATGTCTTTATTCTTGGTAGATCTTGTAGTCATAATTTAAGACTCTCTTTGTCCCATCAATAAGTAGAACAGAGTAGCTACTTTTTTTTATATCCAGGCTGGGGCTTGGATTCCAGTGCTGTGTTCTGTATCACTCTTCAGTCAAGAGGCAAGAATACTTCTCCTAATAATATCTGTCCTTCTAGGGAGAGTGCTATTTGATCCAAGCCTACATTTCTTCTCTGCCATCTCAGTTTCTGAATCACTCATCTCTGCATCCGGGGCATACCCATCATTCTCACTGTCCACTTTTAACTTGTTTTTTGCCCTATCTTTAGGGGAAACTTGTCCAAGGGCCGAGTAAGAGAAATTAGAGTTTTGACGACATGCTTCCTCCTGCCCCTCTCCCTGCTGTTGCCTTTCTCCTTTCTTTGGAATTCGGAATCCTCCCCAATTTTTCACAGGGCTTCTGGGTGTTGTAGGCACTTTAACTGGAGTTGGGTTACAATTTATTCTGAAAAAGGATCCATTGCATTTAGGCACCATATCCCTCCGGATTCCAGGTGCTGATCTGCCACTTGGGTGGTTCACAGCTCTTTTATTTTCTAACTGCCTCTGAAATGATTCATTTGACTTCAAGGGCTTGTAGTTATGTTTGGGAGGTTTCTCCTTCAGTCCTACCTTTATCGTGTCACAATGAGAATGATTGTCTCTTTTCCTGTGATCTTCTGTTACAATCCCATTCTTCTGTTGTGCTGCTCCAAATTGTGCTTCTGCAAAGGTTTTTTCAAAACTGAAAAAGCTAACAGAAGAATCAAGCGCCTCCTTTTGGCTGGGCTGCTTCAGTAATGGTTTGTTATTGTGCCCAGAATTTCTCCTCATTTGTTCTCTCTTCTCTGTTTTTTTCAGTGAATGATTCAACGACATGCCCATTTGTTTTCGGAAGAAAGCCGAATGCCATTTCAAATCTTCTATCTTAGGTGCATCTGGGTTCAATGGCAAACTATTGAAGAGCACCAAATTTTCCATCGAGGAGAAAGAGGAAGGCATACCTGGAGAGACACCAAAAAACGTGTTAAAGATGTTCTAAAATTACCCACCCAGTATTACCTTTGGTAAAAACTTCCATTAGTTGCACTAAATTCTTATTGGGATGAATGGAATTTGAAAATAAATTTAATCTAATACTCATTTTTCTCACTGATTTCAATAGGGCTTACATTCAATTAATTTACTATAGCTACAACACTTTCTTTACTCGTGTAGGTAGTATAGCCAATGCTAACATGAGGTATTAATTTCACATTAAATTGTAACTAATCAGTTAAGTCAGTAGAAATAAATTAGGTGTTTTAATGATAAAACTACTTTGATGCACTAAACATCGTCTTCATTATTTCTTTTTTAGTCACTTTTGGCTTTTTTATTTTTTAGAAAAACAGAAACAAATTTAAACTTGCTAACCAGTTTTAGTCCCGCCTGTGCTGTAGTACGGAATTTAGCACATTCCCTGCTACAATAATTGGTCAATTTTTGGCACATTTTGACCTGTATGCCTCAAGTGTTAAATATCTATGGAGATTCTCAGTCATCTAGGTCATGGTTGTCCCAAAGGTGCTTTACAGGAGGCAACTGGACTTTCTGGTTTTTCTTTGAAGACCATCCAGATACAGCTGAAGACGCTTCTGGGATGAGAAGCAAAATGTCTTCAAAGAAAAACCAGAAAGTCCAGTTGCCTCTTGAAAAAGGCATCTTTGGTGTCAGAAGGCGGGGCTTAGCAGTGAGAAGACGGACTTTCAGGCCATTCTTGAAATTCCCCTATTCCGGAGGAATTGGACAGGTTGTTTTCGATCCTAGCTGTCCTGAAGAGACAGTGAAGGTTTGGGGAGATCCAGTGACCTCAGAGACATTCGCAGGTCTCGGGGGGGCTCGGAATTCAACCCCTTTTGCCAACCCCTTCTGGATTAGCTCTATGCTAACCGAAACTGCAGGTAGCCCCTAAGAATGGTAGAAGTGATTTCATCTGGTAAGCTGATTTTATTACTCAAAGAGAGACGGTCCGCATTAAAATCTAAGCTAATTGAAACCAAAGAACAGAACATACAAATAAAGGCAAAACAAAACAAAGAACAGAAGAATCTAGCGGCGAACTGTTTTTTTTAAAATGGATTTATGGCCAGTGGTTACCCTATTTCTTAAATGCTTCAAGGAATTCTTCGACATTCCCCCCCCTGACTCTTTCTAAGTGGGTTGTAAAG